GAGAGGGGAATACGACTGAATTTATAGAATCCCGAGAAAAGACTGTTCTGAAAACACATTTTGTGCACGTTATGAAACTTTCCTCAACGTCTTCAATAACACAGATTAACAATGAAAAATCATCAGAAATACTAGGTGTGATTTATTATGTAGCACACCCTGATACCAAATGTGTATTTACAATTTCTCTAGCACATATATTTTTTGTGAAATATAGTTTTAATAATGGGAATTCGTGAATTATCTTCCAAAATAAGGACTTGCCTAGTCAAGAATGAAAAATCATCAGAAAAGAATATACGTGGGTTTTACTACGTCTCACGTTCGGATTTCAAATCTGTGCCTAGATTTTCTCTCACACGAATAGTATCTGCGATAGGATGGTTTTCATGTGGTGACTGAAAATTCCCGACGGCAAAAACGTTTCTTCAGGAACTGTTGTTTCTGGGAATGAAATGAGCTTTTGTTTTGATCGCAAAACAGATAAAGAAAACAAATAAGCAGAAAGGTTTCTTATGAGCGTGGAAAACACACTGTCCTGTGTTCCTGGTTGATTCCGACATATTTCTCCTTCTCCTTCATAAAGCATGGATGAATTGTTTCGTGAAGAGAATGGGTAAGGCATCGGTAACAATACTTTCTCTTCTAGCAAAGTAAAAGCGAACTTTTTTAAACTGCTCCAATTTTTTTAAAAAAAATTTACGGTTAAAGGAACGCTTAAAAGAAAGACGCAAATCGCATTTTATTACGCTCTCGGAAAATTTCAAATTTAGAATTAATGCGAGAAAGCGTGTGCTGTTGTCGCGGCAGTTGTTTACATCGTGACGACGCTGACGTCGAGGCAATTTTGAATTACTCTGTTTATAATATTTTATGAAACTAAATATATAAGATATTTTTGACGTAATGTACTGTACGTACGTGGAGTCCATGTTTGATAATACTACTTTAGAAATATTAACTAGAGTACATCTGAAGAATTTTGAGGGGAAAAATCAATTATTGATGTTATCTCTCATAAATATTATTCAGAATTTGAGACAATGCTTTTGAAATGAGAGTGGGGAAATAATGGAGAAAATGATTAGAAACATTCCAGACTCTTGTAACAAACATTTTGTTAACTTGCTAATCAGAGGGGAAATACGTAAAAATTACCTATTAGTTACTTGTTTGATAAGAACACGAAATGTATTTGAATGGCATAGAAATGTTAATTAAAATACAAATTATGCAGAGATCTATACAAGAATAACCATACATGATTCAAGTAATAAACGTAATATATGATAAACGCACGCGCGAGAGAGTGACAACATTCCAATTATTTTAACATCAACTTTTACATTTCTTTCCTGGGAAATTATTCGCCAGTTCTCGCGGCATTCAACGGGCGGTTCTACGCATGGGTGGGCGGGGATGCGTATACGTGCATTAAGCGAGCATCAAGCGTACCTCCGCCACACAACGCGCTTTTACTCACGCATTATCGCAGTGGTGAATCTCGGAGCCGCGCAAAGCCGCCACAACTTAAGAAGAACGAGTGACGGTTTCTTGGAGTACGGAGGGGAGTAATGTCCTCCACTCGTATTTTATTTGTCTGAGTGTACTTTTTTCTAGGCTTTTTTCCAACCAACTAGGGCTTTTATCTAGCCGAAATTACATCATTTTATTCAGCCGATGGAACGCAATTTGACCAGACACCAACACACTTGCAGGTTCCTCTGACCATGAGTCAGCGCGAAACTCTCCGCGACAACACAGACATGAGAGACAAGGGACAAATAACAATGCCGAAGGCGGGACTCGAAACCGCGACCCACGCTCTTAGCCACCTCGGCCGCCAAGGTCAGCCTGGATGTAAATAGGAAATTCAATATTTGCTTTGATATGAGAAGGAAAATGTACAAGTTTTGAGTTCAAAATTATGAGGATATTTATTTTGATAGAGTATTTAATCTACTCGTCCTCTTAATCTACAAAAAAACGACCGAAGTCGCTCAGAGAGGATAAACTCAGCGTTCCTCCTCTCGTGTGTTAATCCATACCTCTCATCACTCCTGCGGTGATAAAATCAAATAGTGTTAATGGAGCTATATCGCATAAGAGGATAATCTCCTCCCCGGAAATAATATCTATTAGCTTCTTTTTGAATCACAAGAACGTGAATTGGCAGTGAGTCATGCATAGAGAAGTTACGGCGGCGATGCTGTAATAGTTAGCTTATCGGACTGATATACCCTAGTTGGCGCGTTCAACCCCGATAGACGCCGTGGATTTTTAAGGGCAAAAAATCCTTTGTACGCCTTCCTTCGGAGGGGAAGTAAAACCGGATGTCCCATGTTAGTAGGTTTACTTGCTTGTAAAAGATCTTCAAGCCTAAATGACGCCTCTGAGCTAAATTCAAATCGCCTGTTTCTCGTCCCAGAAATACCTCCTTTCTCAGGTAGTTGGTGAAAGGAGCGTAGCGAAATTTGCGTGGTCAGACGGAAGAGCGGGCCTGATGGCCCGAGACTCGCCACGTAAAATAAGGCATTAATTTCCGCTATATGTTGTCGTTCCAGTTATATTACTACGAAAGTGTATGTGCATGACATAAGAGCAAGTTAAAAATGGAATATGCATATTCCTGCAATAATATGCAGACATTAAAATGGTTTGTTGGTATTCTCCACAACATTGGTGACAGTGAATGACAATGATTTGGGTTATCCACATATCCAACAACAAGTATCCAACTTAAGGTTCGTTGTTCAGGAGACAACACTGTTGAGCAGCCCTTGGTTTGTCCTGTCCTGATCACAACGTATGAAAAGTACGCAAGTTTTCTAATTTCATGTACATTTTTCCATTGAAGTTCGGATGTACGTCTTTCTCAAACGTAACAGAAGTAATCCGGTTCATTCTCACATTTTCGATGTGAAATGACGATTTTAATTTTATCGAAACAATTCAATTCTACAGATCATGTGACGGATTTTACTTCATAAAAATCACAGAACTGTAATGTATTAATATATTTGAGGTTCACGCAAACCAGACATGAACTTCACGCGCACTGCGGGTGACGGGAAACGGACTGACTCGGAATCTGTCACCCCAAAAGTTGGATACTTGTGTACTTACGGTAAGGTAAGGGGCTAAAATAATTCCCTTTGGTGACGTGCAGTAGGAAATAGGAGGGTGCACATGACTTGTTTTCAAAACATCCACTAAGATCTACGTTTTGTTGAGCGCGACTACCAGACCAGAGAATAAAGACGGCAATCTTCATAAACAGAAGGTAAAGAAACTAACACGAAATCCTTATTTTGTTGATATCTCATGAAAGTGACATAGATTAAATGAACAAATATTTTATTTTTAAATAGATTTTACGCGTATTGATTCTACATATCTTACAGGTGCAAATTAAATGTTTTTGCATTAATAGTAAACTACGGTACGGTATAATGATATAGTGTATTTAAAAACTGTGATGTGATATGACATTTCTTATTATGACATTGCTGATATACGTATACAATTGATTATTTTGCGCACTCTACTTTTCTGGAGGTAAAAATATTGTTCCTCAGTGTTTTTTATTGTAATGATATACTATTATATATTGCTTATTGTTCTCGAGCAATGTGTGCTTTTGGAAAACAATTTTGTGTAGTTTTGTTCACAGAGTGTCTGCTGCTGCTGGACTCTAGTAAGTTGTAGTTATTATTTTACGTCGAGGACAGCACTTTCTCACATCAGGCAACGAGCAGTGAAACGTTGTTGTTGATTAACTTAGGTGGTTGTAATTGAGGTTGTTATTGAGCAACTTAGAATTGTAATACTGTAGTTGAATTAATTATAACTATAATAGTTTAAAACAGTAAATACGAAATTTGTTTTTTCAACATGTTTCATGAAAATTATTTGCTTCATTGATCCCCTAACGTGTTCTCTGAAATACACAGTATCTATAATCATAAATCAAAGAATTGCATATAAAAGTCTTAAATATTTCATTTTTTATTCCAATATTCTCGTATAAATCTCGATTTTCAATAATCGAAGTCGCTTTCGCTTTTAAGTAGCTAACATTTTTATCTTCATTATAATACAACAGTTACAAAGTACTGAGTGCTTTTTTAGAACTAGGCATAACATTTCTCCAGTGCATTTTGTGGAGAGTAGTTTCTTGGGTAATAATGTGAATAGTTAAATTTCTTGAGATTTTAAGCTCATTAAAACACAAATTGTAATTTGCATATTACGAACATAACTACCTTGTCATTTCTACATTAGAAAAACATACTGAGTCCAGGAAACTAATTAGCTGAGGTAGAATCAGAAGCAACAAAAAAATATACTACGCTCATGCTCGCTTGTTTCATTTATTGTTCCCGACAGATGTGTTTAAATTTACCGTGAGATATCGTAGAAAACAAAATCAAGTAAACTAGACCATTATACATTCCTCTGATTTCTTGTCTAGGAACGCTTTCGAAATCATTGTCCTCATTTTTGATTACATCAAATAGGTACTATTTTCTAGGGCTTTTATCCAGCCGACAGCCCCTTACCCTTTCCGTTTCTAAGGGACGCATATTTGATATAAACTAAACACAAATACTCTTGCAGGCTCCTCTGATCCGGGATCAATAGAATGCCAGGCCCTCCGCGACAATACATACACTAGAGATTAGGGAAAAACAACTATGCCCAAGGCGGGACTCGAACCCGCGGTCATTTGGACCGAAGCGCTGACTCGGTACACGCTCTTAGCCACCTCGTCTATCCAAGGTCGACGATAAATACTTTTTGGTTCTATTGAATCCGTAGGTGGTTTAGGTATTATACATTGCCTTTCTTTGTATCGTAAAAGTTTCGAATATATTAATTTCCAATGCCTTCGTCAAAATACTAATTTATGCATTTACTTTGAAGTTCCATACGCAGTCGTATAATGCTGCGTAACTGATTGTGTAGCCCGCTGCTGATGAGAGTGATGTGTGTTGCAGTGGAGAAGTTCTTCAAAGTCTGCAGCCGCAGTGATCCTAAACTTGAGGAGTGCGTCGTTGAGTCCCTGAATGAAGCAAAAGGCAACATTGCGAAAGGTAAGTGTCTCATCCTGAGCCAAAAGGTGAAATTTTGATACTTCTGAACATTCTTAGGTCGATGTACAGCAAACACCGGATGCTGTTAAAATAGGTAAACCGGTATTTAAAACAAAGGCTATTTTTTGTGATGTTGAGAATGAGCGGTTCAATTATTCTTGTAATGCCAGTTTCTTTTAACAGATCCATCCAATTAAATAAAATGTATCTTCAGGGTATGCATAGAGTGATGAAATTTCAATTTTTAGCACTAGAATTAAAAGTGAGACAAGGCTCAAATGTTGTGCTCAATATGTGAATGCAACAAAGGAAACAAAATATTTTCATCGGGCTGCATCAGTTTCTATTGATCTTCACGTATCATGTATATGATTTTCGTATGTGGTTTTCGTATATACATGAATAAAAATAAAATAAGTCAGTAAGGCTCTCTAAAAGATAGTGTATGACACACGTGGTGTAAGTGATTTTACTTTGCTCCTAGGATTGCGCCTATCGGTCTCGTGTCGCAGCTTTTCCTACTCGCAAATGGATTGTCACTATTACCTCTCGTATCATAAGTAACTATTCTGTGAGCGGGAGTACTACGCCACATTCAGTTACAACTCATTTGTTTCTATTGTTCTTAACATACTGTTTTCATAAATTACGTAACAGACGCAGACCGTTAATAGTGGCTTTGCGTTCCTCTCTTTATACGTGTAATGAAGATTTAGCAACATAACAGAAATATGGAAACATTTACATAGGTGTCACAAAGATTCACAACTTACCAGTTTAACTCTAAATATCACGAACCATTATCTCGAACAAAAAGTCAGATTTATTTTATTTATATTTTTTACTTATTTAAGATCGCTTTCAACTACTAAGGCCACACTGCGACCACTGTAATTAACTTTTATTTTTACCGTGGTAAATCATACATCGTGTGTTATCTCAAATTCTAGGTATTAATACTCCATGTGCTATCTCCGTTGTGTTAGTCCCGAGAAATTGCAGTTCCGTTTAGTGCATCTAATTTCGAAATACCAGAATAGCATGTGATATTTTGAATTTCAATATATCAGTGTTATGTGTAATGACTCGAATTTCGTAACAACGAAATTTAGTGTGATATTTCGAATTTCGCTTTTCAAGAGTTGAGAGGGTTGTCTCAAATTTCCATATTGCATTCCCTTGAGATATGAAGTTGAAGACTAAAATATACCTCAAAGGAAGAAATAGTACAAATTTTAAAGAGAAAAAATTGCAAGAGAAAGAATGGAAATATAGAGATAGATGGATAAATAATAATAAAGAATTCGTTCAATAGACGTCAACATTTTGAGTAGATTAACAAATTATTGATGTATTTGAGAAAAAAGGATTCAAGAAAAGGAATTTTTGTGCATAAAAATAATGTAGAGAATCGTGGGGGCAGGTGAATAAAAAGGTAGCTTTTTTTACAGTGCCAAAGTTTTGACCATTCATTTGGCCTGCTTCAGGGCTATAAATATACAATAACATATATGATAAATATATATGTAGTGCTACAGGTTGACCCGATTTATCATCACATAAGAAAATTAACATATTCAAAATACAATTTGCTATACCCAAATGCTGAGATAACACAACTAATTACCTATAGTTAAGACTGTCTTAGTCGACATACGAATCGTATGTTATACATTTTATGTAACTTTATATAGTTTGTTGCTCCTGTAAACGGGTACCGTGGTGTCTCCATGATATATTTTTTATAATTAAGTTGGCACTGTAAAAACCAGACATTTTTATTGACGTACCCTCACCATCCTTTGCATTTCGTTTACAATTCAAGGTCAAGATCAACAGAATAATTTTGTACCCAGGAACCTGTGAATAAGTAAGTATGAGGTTGAGGCCGATCCGGGTAGCCGAGATCGCAAGGCTGTAGTGCCATGGCAATCTCGGACTAAACGGTTCGAGTTTCATCTCGGGCATGTGGGGGTTTGTGTATGTTGTCCATTCATCCTTCATTATCACCCGGATAGATTAGTAAATACTGACTCCGGTCACGGAAGCCTACTCTCTCACTATCAACTCTGGTGGATAACAATTGGATTCGGCATAATGCAGATCCCCCCCAAAACAAGGAGTCGCATACACTCGCCGCGGGCTAAATGTGACCGAGCCTCGGCAAGCGCAGGTGTATGTCCGCGTGAGTGAGAGCCCAAAAGTGAGGTGGAGCGTGCGCGCTGCGTGCGCAGGCGTGCCGTCGCTAGGGCTGGAGCCTTTGGAGCCCGTGTACTTCCGGGAGGTGCGCATTGAGGAGGGCCCCGCCGACTTCCAGCTGCGCCTCGTGATGCGCAACGCCTCCTTGGCTGGCCTCGCTAACTTCACCGCCACCAGAGCCAGGTACGCTTCTCTCCCCGCTTCACTCCTTTATCAGGACTCCTTTATCTCAATGTGGGAGAGTGACTGTTTAGTGTTTAGTGTTTATGAAGCATTGTCTGCTGTGATCCTTAGCTTAGTAAGTGCAGTATATGTTATATCCCGGGATGTGGCTTTGTTCCTCCTGAAACGTGAGTTCCAATTCTAACTTCCTGGTCAGCGTGCGGAGTTGTCCCATCTCTTGGCCGGCCTCGCCAACTTCACCGCCACCAGAGCGCTTCTCTCCCCACTTCACTCCTATATCAGGACTCCTTTATCTCAATGTGGGAGAGTGACTGAGTGTTTAGTGTTTATGAAGCATTGTCTGCTCTGATCCTTAGCTCCGGAAGTGTAGTATATGTTATATCCCGGGATGTGGCTTAGTTGTAGATTGCTCAATGTTGAAAAGCGAAACTAACCAGGGAATGCTCAAAAGTGATATGTCAAAACCTGCCCTGAACGTAAATATGAAGGAAACTACACGAAAAACGTTTCAATTGATCGTATCCACAAGAAGCCTTTTTCTTAAAAACTTGTTGGTTATTACCGCACGACCTTTTCTCCACAAGTACATAGAATAATTGTTACTTTCAGAAGTTCTATTATTTATTTTTAATTGGTAAGAAATTCGCTTCTACGGATATATTTTATGTGCGCTGATATTATTTAGTTGCCTTCTTCGACAAAAACCTAAGTTTGTAGATATATACAATACATTTTTACACAAACCATTATTCATATTATTTAAGCTTTTTTGTAACTTGTTACTTGAGAGTTGTTTCTTAAGAAACTATAGAGAAAACTAATTGTGATTGTGATGTAAAAGTGTCTTCAACATAATCACTATCACCTGAATTCGAATGATGTTTACAAATGTTACTGTAATACGTCATATTTGTGTTTGTAATATTACATATTTACAACTGTAATATTTTGTAAACAAATAAAACCATTAGCCGTTACTTCTACAAATTTTTGCTCTTTATTTTCATCGATACAATAACCAAACACTTTCAGCGTTTCAGATGTTTTAATTGATATTCACATTTAAGGCATTATTGCAATGTTCTTTATTGACCATGTACGGAACAAAAAATACAAGTTTGCAAATCAATTGAGTTTTTGTAAACATAGTACGCTGTGCTTTAAGCGGTTTAATGAAAATAAATAACAAAAATATTAGAGGCACATAACCTGCAATGTATTCAGTATAGTTTTACACAACTTTCTTGTGTACATTGTACCAGAAAGTGTTTTTACTTTCCCGTATATGTACGTACGTGTACCGAGAAATATATGTAGTATAATGAAAGTTTTGTCATTCTGCGCGAAAAAACCAAGGGGGGGGGGTCGGCAAATAAAAATGAATTGCCGGACGAAAATGTGGATAAATCCAGTTGCTGAATTACGAAAACAATCCTTTAACAGGTGATGTAGCCAGATTCCCTGTTTTGTGGGCCCTGCGTCCCGAAAAACCAATTGACGGCAAAACGTCCGTCTGTCTGGTCGTCCGACCGTCTGTCCGACTGTGAATACTACTAGCCCCCAAACCATTCGAACTATATTTTCCGAATTGAAGAATCCTGTCGATCTGGCTCGTCACAAAGTTTTGCAATAATTTTATGAAACCTTGAAACACAGTTTATCGTAAAAGTAGGTGGGGAAAAAGAGGGGAGATATTTATGTGCTATCTAAGATTCGCGTTTATTCACAAAGACTCATTCTAGAAGCTGGTTTAGGAATAACCGGCCTATTTCATTTACAGTGACGACGTTATCGAAAATAAGGTATTAGGATATGTTCCCAAGTCACCCCATCTGTCACCAAGTCACCTCAGTTTACGGTTCTCTATAACCGAAGTCGATTGTATTACGACGGTTCAGAGAACAAAATTTAAAAGGAGAGAAAATTAAGCTTATATTCTGGCTAATAATAGTATGTGCACGTTAACAGTATTCATACTACGAGGTGGCAAATTCGTGTACCTACATAATTGAGAAGAGAGAGACTTCTTCACACATCGTTACTACGCCGTTAATTAAGCGGAGAAATACGCAAAAAATACGCGCTAACGCCTCCAATTGTTTTTCTACCAACTCATTTACACAGACATTAAGAAGATATTTTAGTGACAAGGCCGTATAGAACGTCTTTTAAAGATAATTGGTTTTGAAGGTTGGTAAATTTAAAGAGTCTAAAAACGCTCTATACTGAGAAGTGACGAAAGACATTTTAAGTATACAGCGGCACGTCCAAAGCTTGAGGTCCGACAACATAAATTGTCTGTCATCTCATTTGTTTTCACTCTCCTTGACCTTTATTATACTCAATAATTCGAATATTAGTAACAAAACAGGATCACATCAAAAACGAAAATGTCCTAAAATAACTGGATATATAAGGAGGCAAAGAGGAAACGATTAATCTTTGGAATCCCGCTCGCTAGCATTCGTATACTGAGGCATATGTCTTTAAAACTTTACTTTTAGAGTTGTTCTCAATAAATCTTCATTAAATATAGCTTCAATCCTTTTTCCATTATCTACAATCGGTATTGATTAATTGATGATTAATTTTGCTCAGTGTTAGGTTTATGCAATCTGGTTGCAGAACACTATCTTATACAGATATTTAATTGTTATTTATACAACAAGGTGTTTAAGTATTTAATTGATATTGATATTTTTAGATATTGTAAATTGATTAACGATTTTTTGAGGAGACTTGAAAAAGGATACTAGCCAAAAAAACTAATACTTTTACAAAGCTTGAATTTTACAGACTTGTTAAAGAAGCTCGTGACATTCAGTATTTATTATTGAAGGTTAATTTTTAACTTACGTATATGAATTCTCTTACACTTACGGTGTATCCAAACTTTCTTTCTCAGATTGTAATGATAACACAGTCACTCAAAAAGAGTCAGACCCAAAGACCGGACGCATGTTTCTCTATGTATGTCAACGTGCTGAATCCGAATGTGCAGTCCGAATTGCGCTATCAACCTCTAGGTGTTTTTAAATCGCAAATAACCCCCGTGTTGTAAATTTTAGTCCGTTCACTGAGCGAGAGCGTCAATCGTGCCAGTCATATTCAATATCCAACAGCTCAACCCAAATGGCGATATGGCGTCAGTAGTGGTGGAGAATACGGTGATAGAGATTCACAATACTTGATTACTGCGTATTCCCAAATTTCCAACTTGCTCCTACCAATCTTCTGTTACTTACTACTAGCAGATTAACAGCTAGATCGGAGGTTGAAAACAACGGCCTCCGTGCATAGGAACGGAGACTTTTGAAGGTCTCTAATCACCTGTTTCACTGAGAGATTCTCTGTTTCTCTCTGATGACTTCCGTTTCAGAAGAGCTATTTCCTCCAAAACGTAAAAAGGGATGCAGATAGACTTTAAATATATTACGGCATAAAAGACAATCTCGTACCTACAATATATACGTAGACTTGGAAACCAAGTTTTAAATTCTTAGAGTAGTAGAGAAACGATCTACGCTAGAATGAACATTTTTCGAGTTGTGTACGATAAAACGTGTCTAAGAAACAGAATATAGAACAAAGGAGTGACCGTATTTTTAAAAGCTCTTAAAAAATAAATAACTGCATTGCACTCGTTCCAGTAGAATTTTACCGAAACAATATTATCGTGGTTTTGTTTATCACCGCGACATACCTCGAAGCTTGATTGCGATGCAATATTAGTTTTCCCAAGTCCTCGTCATCCAAGTTCTGGTGACACCAAGTCCTCCCATTCCAATTCCTGTAACCAGAAAGGAAGAAAACAATGGTTCAGATGAGTACTATAGACTTGTTTTTGAACAATAACTTCTCTCTGTGAAGGCATGAAAAAGGCTCAGCTACGTAACAAGACTGTGACAGGTTCTTCGCAAATCAAAAATACGGTTAATAAATAAGTGATATTTAACACATTTGTTATAAGCTGTTTATAAAAGTGAACAAAAATGATATTCCTCTACAGCAGGTATTGTTTATAACGTGTATTACATTATTATAAACCATTTCTTTAAATCTTCGCCTATACTCGTCTTACCCCGTTGCGCCCTGCTCTCTCGAGCCTCACTAACTCATACTTCAAGTCGAACTTCACTAACTGGAACACTCGCGTACTGCAATATTGCCAAAAACTAAACTCTCGTTAACTCGAAAGTTGCCTACACAAATATCGATTACTTGCATCTCACTAATTCGAACCTTGCTAACTCGCCTACTGGTATTTCACACTTCGAACGTAGGTGATTCTGTAAATTGTTCACACCTGTTTTGGAATTGCAATTAAATTCCTAATATGATTTATCGGACGCCATATTACCAACTGATCATTACGATGCGTATTTGTACTTTTGATTAAAGATGTTATTTCAAATTCTCTCTTATCATTTAGCAGCCAAAAAATAAACTGTAAAGCCAGAGGCCCTTGAGGTCTAGAAAAACATAATTACTTAACGTCCTTGATGCGTAATTATTTTGCTCCTAAACTTACATTTACTCTTTCAGGTGAAGAGTTATGAAAGATCCTTGATATTTGTTACCTGCTTTTTAAGAGACATCTTTATTCGACACTACACATTTCTAACTTAACGTAGTGTCAAAATACTTCCTTTAATGTGTCAGTAAGTTATTATAATCAGTTTTTATTATCATCAGCCACTCAATGCTCTTATTCCGAAGAAGATTTTATTTTCCAAACGTATGAAAATTGGACGAAAGGAATTGAACGAGGCTTATGTTGCTGGTAGATCTGCCAGGCAATTACATCATGGTGGTAGTGGTGGTGGTGGGGTTAGTTCGTGATATGATCCTTGTTAAGAAAAGGGATTGGCGTGGTCGTGGACATACGGCATTTGTTACTGGTTGATGTTTCCTATTCACTCGTGATGGTGCCTGTTTTTGTATTGCCTGTTTTTCCTCGGGAGAAGCGGGAATGCCATGAGGTGACAGAACGAACCGGGAGAGGTGCATCAGGATATGCACTGCATCTGCTGACACTGCAGTGCTTCTGACCGGGAGGACCTAGGTTTGAGTCCCGACGGTGGTAGGATTTGCGACACTAGCTTGACAGCTAGGTCGAAATCAGTCTTTGTCTGGAGGAGAATTCTAGTTGCCGGCTGCTCTGATCGGTAGTTTTCCGTGGTATCTCCAATTAACACTAGACGAATGCCGGAGTAGTACCCTAACAAACGTGCCACGGCCCGCGCGCGATCTTTCCTTCATCTTCCTTGGCCTATCCTCAACCCTTACACACACTTACACTACCACACATACCGGGACACCGGTCGGAATCTAAGAACTTGTCCAGGCTGAGGCGGTGCCCCGCTGGTAGGACATACCTGTTTGGAAAATCCCGGTACCCGACGGTAGGCCGGCGCTGGATCACGCAATCCAACGAAAGAAGACAGCCACCTCCCCCTTCTACGAGAAAAAACACACACTACACTTACAGGACTAATGTGCTTAGCAGTTGACACTCCCGGGATCACAAAGCACCTTTCAATGAAGATTGATTGTTAGTGATTCCGGGCGCTCAATGACAATCCGGACGATCAATGACAATCAGAATGGTAAGACGTGTGTCAGAGTGAAGCTGGCAGGACTCCTAATAGATGTAGAATTGCTAGTGGCTGAATGTTGATATTTGTAAGGGATGCGAATGTGGTGAAGTGAAACGTTGGAATGTGTTGCAGCGTGGATCTACCGGATTGCTACAGCAAGGTGGAGGTGCTAGTGTATGTGCGTTGATCCTTCAGAGAATTGAGAATGTCGTGGTATAATGGAGCGATGATGTGTGTTACAGGGTGGATATTCCGGGGCGATACATCGAGGTGGAGATGCTGGTGCCACGGTTCCTGTTAACAGGTCGCTACTCCTTCAGTGGACAAATACTCACCCTGCCCATCAACGGAGACGGACCCTTTAACGCCATTATGGGTAAGCTCAACTAAAACCCCTTAACTAATGCTGTTACACTTTACAAATCCATTATCAGACCATTAATGTCGGTCGCATGCTCCATTTGAACCAACGCATCAATTACCAACATTAATAAACTCCAAACTGTATAAAATTGTTTCCTCAGACTAGTAAAATTTAGCCAGTGGTTCATTTCAAATTCCGACCTCCATAAAGAGTTAAATGACTAACCAATCATCAAACTTATCGCCCTCCTTTCTAATATTTTTTTCGGCCGAAATTCAGTAAACAATTAGTTTTAGATTAGATTTATGTAGTCCAAAAACGGTAAAACTGTATGTAAAGTATGGAGGAGATGATTATCTGTGCACGTTTTATGAGTTCCAGAATCTCTTCCCATCATTTTAACTATAAATAGTTGAAAAACTATAGTACTATAGAGTAAATAAATAAATAAATATAAAATTTTAAAAAAGCACAAGGTTAGCGACATATGAAATCTAGACATTTTTGTTCTCGAGTTAAAGAAAACTTATTTGCAACAGTAAACGAACGGCAGGATTTATTTTTCTGCATTACTAACAAAATAGCAACTCGCCCTTACCTCCACTCCTACCACTATAAACAAAAGGAGAGTTCAACAAAACGTGCGCTAGTGAAGCTACATTTACATCCAGAAGCAAAACAAGGGGCCATCTCAGCATTTGCTCAATATATCAGGGAAGCTGCATCCTTGCAATCTACTACAATCTGGCATCTTTAAATGACTTCTCAACAAGAATTAAAACCAGATTTCCTTTGATGCATTTTTGAACATTTTATCCGGTAATGGTTAAAGCAGGGCCGCTTGTAGTTCCCTACACTTTGTTGTAACATTAGTCATCACATTTGACATGTGTAAAGTATTATGATACTTGACCATGTAACCAAGCACCTAACAATTACATATTTGTTAAAAAAAGTGATCTCATCACCACTGCTAGTCTTCCGCGAAATGTCCAATACCATTCCAATGTCCAATTCCAGAATGTCCAATACCATTTGCGCGCGGCGATGTGTAACAGTTAGCGGATCGGACTGTTGTACCCAACATGGGCGTAAAAATCCTTCGTACGCCTTTCTTCGGTGGGGAAGTAAAGCCGGCTGTCCCATGTTAGAAGATTTACTTGTATGTAAAAGATCCTCAAGCTTAAATGACGCCTCTGAGCTAAATTCAAACTGTTTCTCACCCTAAAAAGAGCGTAGCGAAACTTGCGTGGTCAGACGGAAGAGCAGGCCTCATGGCCTGAGTCTCGCCACGTAAAATAAGGCTTTAATTCAATTCAATTCAATTCAGTTCTATACTTCCGGACAGTGGTGGCTGGTGGGTTGCGAATTAGGAGGGGAGGTATGTATCTCCGAACTATCTCATACATTTTACCTCTTCGAAATATTTCTTGAACGAAGAACACAATGGCATGCAGAGTACCACTGATTTGCGCGTATCGAGATTTTAAACCCTGTCTGAGACAACTTTTACCTTGGTAATGGAAGATACAGTTGTGCTCACGCAAAAATAAGAGATTTAAAAAAAAGTATTTTCAGCAAACAAGTCAGTAATTAATTAAATCAGATGAAACGATCGGTATGCTTATCTTAGTTAATAGCAGCGGACTCTGCTGAACAAAACCCTAATAGCAGTACTCTGCCGCCACCCAAATCGCAGTACCCCCACTCTTCCTCAAGCTTCCATTGCCTCGACCCATACTCTCTGGCCTCGCACGCAACAGCTACGGGCGGACTCCGGATAGTCCACGATTTTACCCGTTCCATAAACATTATCTTTCGCGAAATCGGTTACTGCAAAACTAAATTCGTTCTCGAAAATTGTGCTGGTGGAGTGCATAAATTAAACGAGTCGATTTACCGCAAGTTTAATACTTTCTGTCACTTTTCCCGAGGTTGGTTTTCCTGAGGAGGGCGCCGCCCCAGAGCCCTTAAGGAGCAGACGCCATTTCATCAGGACATCTTTCTTTGATTTTGACAGCTAGCGAACACAAACACTATTTGCCAATCGCAGAAGCTCTCGCTTAGCTGAAGGACTTTCCGGACCGATAAGCTACTTAAATAGGACAACCCTCTTCTACACCAGTGAATTCTAACCCACTCCAGTGAATCAAATTTACTCACATTTTTTTTATTCGCATTGAAATTGAAGGAAAATGTTTGGTGATTACCTTTGGTTATAAGCTTTTTTTATTTCTTTGTAGAAATTTTTAGCAGGAAATATTATATGAAATAAAATTCGAAGATGGTTAATTTTTTTTTCAGATAAGGATATTTACTTAGATTACGCAATAACGATAAAAAGTTAATGTCGGTACATAAAATGGAACAATCTAAGATAAATCATGTTTATAAATTAAAAGCAAGTTTTAATGATCAAACTAAATAGCCTTTTAAGAAGAAGAGCAAAATGATACTGATCCTTTACAATATTGATACATATGAGGCGAGTACTTTCCAAATGAGGCGAGATGAGCTGAGATGAAACTACAAAGATTTCTTTTGTCCCAGTTTACATTACTTTTCGGAAAAAATATTTCCATGCCAAGGATTAAGTTAAATGACTTTGCTATTAGGCGGAATATTTATACTGTCGCTTGGGCTGGTTCGAATAATGAGGGTTTTCCCAATTCTTTAATCACAAGATACCCTCGTTAAGTGTTTCGTTCGACATTGAAATTGTCAGTTTTACTTGTCCCTCTATGGGCGCGGTAAACGTGATTTGTTTTATATTTATTACCGGGAGAGGTGACTCAGAGCATCAACTGACGTCACTGCAGTGCCTCTGACCGGAAGGTCCTGGGTTCGAGTCCCGATAATGGCAAACTTTTCACTACTAGTTTGTCAGCTAGATCGCATCCGGTCGCTGTTTGGAGGAGAATTCTAGCGGCTGGTTGCTCTGATCGGTAGCTGTCCGTGGTTTCTCCGATCAAAACTAGGCAAATCACGAAGCGGCACCCTTCGAAACGGACCACAGATCGGAAGCCATCTTTTCTACCTCTTCCTTGTCCTATCGTCACCCCCTTTCACACACACTAACATGCACTATGCTACCACGCATGCCGGGAAACCCGTCGGGAGTTTAAAGCTTGTCCCAACTGGACCGGTGCCCCGCTGGCGGGAGATACCTGTTGAGGAAAAGTCCGCTAGCCGCGCGACAGTAGGTCGGCGCCGGATCTCGCCATACGCAGGGGAAGACCACTGCCACCGCCCGAGGCAAAAACATGCACAACGGGACTAATGACCTCAGTAGTTGACACTCCCGGAATGACTAGCAACTAACCAAATATTGTTTATGTAATTTATACTGATTTTTATACATTTATATTAATAATAATTATATATTGCTTAATATTAATATTTATATTAATAATAATTATATATTGATTAATATTTATATTTATATGAATATTATAATATATTTATACAAATATTATAACTTATATTTATATTGGCTCAGTGCCTCAAAGGCGAAAATACGCATCGTGTGAACGCAACCGTAGGCGCACATTAACGTCAAGAGAGTATTGTACACTGTAAAGAGGTAGTATCTCAGCACACCATGACAAAGGACACCAACTGTAAAAGTCTATGCCAGGGAGTAAATTGTACTCATCTGTTTTCCAACCTATCATAATAATCCCGTCCGTTGGCCGTTGTCCGTTGGTCCGTTGGCTTGAACCAAGTTCAAGGCCTCCCGTGTCAAAGAATACGTTCTCTTAAATCGTGACCGAATTTAAATCTCTATATTGCTCTATCTATATTTATATTACACACACACGCACATCTTATTTAACGAATGACTAGACTTTCATTTTCCATGAACAGGATAAAGTGAATTTGATAACGGGATACTGACTAGTTTACACGATACCAATACTGTGGGCCAGTTACGGGTTCACGCACCAGTTTACACTATGTTACTAATAGCATGCAATATGAGATAGTTTTCTCTTAGTTCTGTGTGCTATTGTGTGCTCTTTGCGTCGTGCTGCTGATAGTATTCGGCGCGCAAGCAACAGAAACAGCAAATGTCCCGTAAACTTTTTATCTTATTCATCACATCTGCATTAAAGAAGATATTAATACCCATTTCATTTGTAATTGCCAAAATTATCGCATTTCTAGCCTCGTTATACACAAGTAAAAAATGTTTGCCGATTGTCTTCATAACCGGACAAAATTAATAGTTTGTTCTTCCGTTATTCGAGAAGTTTTCTGCTTCCAAGCCATTTTTATAAATAATAATAATAATAATAATAATAATATATTAATAACAACAATAATAATAATAATAATTATTATTATTATTATATATTAATAACAATTATTATTATTATTATTATTATTATTATATATTAATAACAATTATTATTATTATTATTATTATTATTATTATTATTATTATTATTATTATTATATCATCGTACGTTCATCACGTGAAACACCCTGCAAGTATAAATCAGAATAAACACGTGTTGGTCACTGAGCGTCGCCAGCTCTTGAGTTTTGAGGGCACCAGTTCCAAACATGGTGGGAGAGCAGGTGAGTAAGCCAGTAAATCTTATTCTTGCCATATTCTTGTTCAGCTGGCATCGCCAGTGACTGACACGAAGGTCTTGCCAGTCACTTCAACAAGGCGCTTACCCTTTACCAGTCACCACTTGTCAGGTACTGGCTACCGCAATTGGCCCGTTCACTGTTAACGTGTAAATCAGTAATTAGTTTTACCCCTACAGACCAGCGCTAGCAAGCGCATTGTGCTTCTGCTCAGGTGCGGTGAACTTGACGAACAGAATTCGCTTCTCCGAGGAGAAACGCGATGGCGTCCTGTACTGGAAGGCGGTGGAGTATCTCTGGGACATGAACATGAACGAGCTGCACGTGGATTTCCGGAACCTCTTCCGCGGAAATAAGCGGCTGGGTAAGTGCAACTAAACGTCTCTCAAAGCTCTGAAGGATGCTTGTTGAACAACGCCGTACCGGTGGTTCAGTTAACCTCAGATTTAAGATTTCCCACTCTCTAAAACCGGGTGAGGTGGCTCAGGGAATCAACTGATTTCACTGAAGTGCCCCGACGGGAGGTCCTAGAGTCCCGACGGTGGCAGACTTTTTGATACTATCTAGAGAGCTAAATCAAATTCAGTCTGTCTAGAGGAGAATTCTAGCGGCCGGCTGCTCTGATCGGTAGTTTTCTGTGGTTTCTCCGATTAGCGCCAGGTGAATGACGGAGAGTGACCTAACAAACGGGCCACGGACCGCGCGCGGTCTTTCCTTCTTCTTCCTTTCCGTATCTTACACCTCCCTTGCTTACAAACACATCGCCCTACGCTGTCACACTTGTTGGGAAACCTGTCGGGGACGGTTGGGGTGGTGCCCCGCTCGTGGGACATAACTGTTTGGGGGAAAACCCGACGTGTAGGTCGGCGCCGGATCTCGCCAGCCAGCAAGGGAAGCGCCAACCAGCAGGAGTTGTCGCTAAGAAGAAAAAAGGGACATTTCACACACCACACACACACACACACACACACACACACACACACACACACACACACACACTAACAGCGCCGAAAAATTTAAAAATGTTAAACTTGAAATGGACATAAAAATTATTAAGGAATTTATCAAGAAACTGGAAATTTCTTTGAAGAAAATATTACAAATTTAACTCTCAGTTAAGTTCAGAAAACTGCGATAAGAAGTACAATGCAACAAACACATACTGGTATGCCTAATTTAACTTGTTCCAATGTTCCAAACGCCACGGTCCAAAGTTCCTTGTCATGTTCAAAGTTACTTCAATATAGTTTTTCCATAGAAACTTAAGACAATAAAAAAGCAAAGAACATAAATTGAAAATAACCTAGAGATTGAAATATCATACTAAAGGAATGGAAATATGCTTGAAACACTCCTTCACAACAAGTTTAGTTCTGATTTCATTGCTAACTTACTACAAAAACATACATAAGAGTTTTGCAGAATGTATTACCAAGCCTAACAATTGAATTGTTTATTTCAAAAACTCATCAAACGCCAAAATACAAAACATGCTTTAGGGACAGATTATTGTTCCAGGAGGATAGACACATCGTTTAGTGCATATTTATATGAAAAATATTCATTTAAAAACTCCTTTAATACAAAACTTATTTTAAAATCTGTAAAATTGGGAGGCTTATTCTCAGTTTCCTCAAAACAAGGAATTTGGCGTTTGACGAGTTTCTGAAATAAACTATTCAATTAATGAATTATCAACACATAGCCAAAGCACAAGGCAAAATTACAACAGTGTGGAACATTGTGAAAAATTCTCCAACAACAGAAAACTGAATCACAAAGAACATTGAACTTCACTACAAAAACAATGTTCTCTACAACCAAAAGATAGTAGTAAACACTTTCAGTATACATTTCTGAAGAATTGGAGATTAAATAACCCCTAAAAACAATTTAAATAATATAAATGTGCATTGAAATACACAGCACCAAATGCAAACTTCATAAGGAACAGAACTGACATTTCAACCTCTAGGAAAATTAAAGATCATAAATCAAATGGAAAACAAATTCTCTAAAGAACTGCTTAATATTCGTGACATCCTCATTAAACATACACAATACATGTGTTCATTCACATTTGTAACAAGTCCTTAATGAGAGGAATCTTGCCAGAAATTTACCCAGGCAACACATCACCAATATCCTTACTATGTGGATTGTAAAAAATTTTAGAAAACCTTGATAGCCTCAAAAATATTAGTCAATTCAAACAACATTATATTATCAAAGGCCCAACATGGATTCAGAAATGGCAGATCTACAGACTCAGTTATCTTCTCCTTTCAAAATGACATTGTTGTTTCTAGATTTATGAAAAGCATTAAATAACCTCACTCCTTATTGACCACCACATTCTGTTACCAAAACTTAAAATGTCATGGAATTCAAAGCATTGAATATCAATGTGTTAAATCTTATCTTTTAAATTCTTTGTCAAGTGGTCTGAATCATGTTAGAGACAAAAAGATTCCAACCCTACCTAGTATGATACATAATGGAGAACCACAGCGATCAATCCTAGGACCCATACTGTTTTAAAAACAGCAACAACATCTCTGACTCTGCAAAACAACAAAACAGTTCTCTTTGAAGATGACACATATATTATTATAAAAGAAAGTACATAATAACCTCTACAAAAAGATTCATAAATGGTTGTAGAGACACTGTAGAAAAATGGTTCAAGAAAACAGACTCAAAAACACAAGTCAAACAATCTCCCTAAATGTATAAAATCCACTTTCTAAAGAAAAGACATTAGCACAATTGAGAATATCGACAAGCCCTCATAAGCATGAGTCTTGCAAATCACTATTACAACCTTGCATCTTATAGCCTTAAGTATGCAACAGTTGCTAGCTTTCCACAATAGACATAATTTTTAATTGCTGCATTACAAGAGCATTTGTCAGGAAACTTCCAGTTGAATTATGTCATCTATACAATATTCGCAATACATTGGATAAGAATTTATTGGGGCAAGATGATACATTCTGTGTATGATGCTAATGATCAGATAATGTAAGGAATTTGTTACTATCAAAAAAATATATTGCATTTTTAAATTTAGAGCATTTTGAAGGTCGAAAGAAGATATACTGTAGCTTTTGCATTTTCAGAAATGAATTGGAATCCACGAAATTAATGAAGTGTTTGGGCAATACAGTTTATATATTTATAGCAGGAATAGCAAGTATAAGAATAAGAATTATCTAATTAGATTGCTGTGAATAAATACTGAGCCAAAAGTACATTTTTTAAATACTTTGAATTAATTAATTTCAATTGTGTAGTTCTAAATGGAAGTAATGAATCAGAGATTGAAAATAAAAAGATTCTTAAGCAAGGTTACTAGATATACTGTTGTAAGAATATAAGTAGGTACTCTTTCAGAAAAGGTACTCTCTCTTTATACTTTCTCTTTTCTCAATTCTGTACATTATTGTACTCTTTTTTTTTTTCAAAACACCTATATAATCATATAAATAAACACCTATAAGTATTTTTACTTAAATATAATACATAATTTTTTTTAATTATTACAATAGTTTCCAAATAAATTTTTCACAGTTCTGTGGTTTTGATCTCTGGTTGATAGTTATGGACAATTTGTCCTATGTTTTATGATAAAGATGATGCTAGCCTTACCAGCATTCTGAATCAAGGATTCAAAATTTCTTTGACTGATGGGATGTTTTTCCATATGCCAGTACTTTTATTTTGTAAGTTGTAGTTAACTTTGCATGTGGTCTTTTTTCTTGTGGTACTATAAAAATGATGTTAGGGTACTTCACTCATATTGCAATGGGTTTATACTCTGTAATAAAGAAGAGGTTTCATTGGAAAATTGTATTTGCATCTTGCTTGAGAAACAAAATTCCTTAGGCAAAAAATTACAAAGCTTCTAAAAAGAAAAAAGGTTTCTTCATTTTCACACTTAAGAGTTTCAATAAATATTTCTTGCATGACAGATAATGATCTAAAGCTGCATTACAATATCAAAAAAGTATGTTTTGAACAGATTTTATCATTTAAAATTAACTTTGTATTCCCCAAAAAATCCAACATAATACCTCTAAGATTTTGATCATACTAGTATTATGTAAACTAATAAAAATAGTTTTTTGAAAAGTCTACTTATGCAGAATCATAGAGAATAAAGAATTTGTTAAACCACTTTTGTTCAATACACTGTTTTAGAGTTATTTTTCAATATTTGTGTCTTTGATTTAATCAACTTTTCTTCTGTACATTTCTTGCAAAAGTTCTTCAAATATTTACTAACACAAAACATTTCCAAGTAATTGATATACTAGATTGAATAGTAATAATGTTTCTGTTTATGTAAAAATCGTTGAGGTTTTAGGAAACGTGAATAACTAACATTTTCTATGTCAAATCTGGTCACTATATTATTAGTACAGTAAGAGATTGCAACTGTGCATTCAAACAAAAAGTTTTTTGTTTTTCTTTTGTAGACTAATGTACAGTAATTATAAAGTGGCTTTGTGCATTTATAATGATAATACTTAAAGGCTGATGGTGTTACAACCTAATGTGTATGAACATCTTAGCTTAAAGAAGGATGTTTCTGACTTTTCTTTAAGCCAATGCATTCCGTAGGACACCCCTTTAAAACATTATAAGCCCTTGCCCTAAAATATTGTAATTATGAAGAGCCAATAGCTTGATAATTTCATGTACTACACTTTTGTAATTGCGGGCACCCTCTGAATATTAAGTACTACTAAAGCAAATTATATTTCACCCACATACGTCTCACAGATTTTACTGTTCTTTGTCAAAAATAAATAAATAAAAAAGACAATGTTTCAAAAGACTTCTCATTTACAAATCTTTCATAATATCATTTTCCTTTCAAAAAGATATCTCGCAATACTTTGCATTGACTTTGTTCATGTAGAGCAAAAATTATTTGTTATTTCTTACATTCACGGGATTAGCAACAGGACATGCACGCCTCAACAGCTGATGTGATGAATAGAGGGCGTATTTTACCATGTTTGCGTATTTTATTCCTCACAATCAAACAATATGCTTTTTTGCAAGAAAATACAATTCAGACCACAAGAAAGAAATATATGAAGATTTGTTGTGCAAATTTTTGCATACATTGGCAATAGGTGCATATATCAGTAATTTGTGTATGTCTATGCATATTTTGATATTATTGATCACTTTTGGTAGCTTTTGAAATGTTTGATTCATTTACAAAATAGGTTATACCAGGAGTCATTTGACAAATTGTAGCAACAAAGATTGATAAAGTAGAAACCAGAAATCCAATCATTAAATTTATTATTGATGTAAATGAAGTCTAACTAATATATTTGACAAGGAACTGCAGAGTTATTCTCCTGCTGAACTGGCTTCATTTGCCCCATAACTTTTGTGAAGTGGTGTGCACTGTTTTCTAGTTACAAAAACATTCAAACAGGCAAAAAAAATTCTATATCAGTAGAAAACATTGAAAAACAATTGGTTGTTTACTGTCGCAATAATACATGTAAGTAAATGAACTGTGAGTGAATAAAATCATTTTTTCTTTTACTTAACTAAATATGCTCATCACCATACAAATTACAAATAATACCATAAAAAATAACTGATTATCACTTTGTTTATGGCATGCATGGAATTAAAACTTCACTGTCCAAACTTAAAATTTCATAACAGCCAATCAGAACTAAGAGAACTGATCGCAATCAATTAATTATGTATCTGTAACACAGAAGAAGCCAAGGTGTTTACAGGTGGCAATGAAACACGAACAAAAACGTACATCACAGATTACGAACATCAAAAACATAATCAATGAATGAATAAAACAAAATTATAAATGAATAATTCTGCGTTAAAATGGCAAAATGTTAGAAGTCACTTAAAAAAATTTTTGCATGACAACAATGTGATGAAAATTTACTCTGTCTCTTTTGTTTTATTACAATTTGCTGTCATAATTTTTTTCAGAAAATACAAGAAAAATGTACTAATTGCATACTTCTAAACATTAGCAAACAGTGACTTATGTCATTTTGTATCTCATGTCATGAAAAAATGACTTATATGATTTTGCTATCTTAGTACTGAATTATTACTACTTCTTAAACAATCATGTTAATATTTGAAGTACAGTAAGTTACATTAGAAACTATTACCCTACTCATACTTGACATCAATCATCCTAACTCACAAATCTGAGATATGTTTACTTCACCTATTTGAATGTGACGACCCAGAGAGAGCAATTGTTTTGACAAATATCCTTAATTTTTTTTACAAAATCATATAAATTGTTTATAATTTAAAATATCAATATTCTCCTTTACATAATACCAAGTGTCAAGTATGTTAGTTTGACACTACCTGGTTCATGGAACAACAAAATATTTAACATAAATAAATGTGTATCTTTTAAAATATTTGGTATTAGCATATTACAAGTATAAACTAGTGGTGCAACATAATGGCACATACTTTCTTGAATTAGTTTTCTATTGCCTTTGGTCTCGGTTTGCTATACGAACTTGCCACATATTCTTGCCAGCTGCCATCTATCGCCACCAAAGTACATTATTGTGACATTTTCTCAATTTTTTGGTTTTGAAATAATAGAATGGAAATATTTTTTAAGAATATTAAAGAACAGTAAAATTTTTTCTTAAATAGCAATTTTCTTTGAAAAATTTGGAGCCATTTTTAAGAAAATGGTGCTTAAGTGCTCCAGTAAATTGGAAATTTGAAGCTCTTTTTCAGAGAAAATTTTAGAGTTTTTGTAAATATTCATTTAAAGTCATTTGAAGCATGCAGTAGTGTTTACAAATTGTTGGAAATCTGAATATTACTGGTGTGAGAAATCTTTCAAAAAATACATTTGTGTTTTTTTTTGGGGGGGGGGGGAGAAAAAAACAAAAACAAATTGAACTTTACCTCATAAAAAATAGTGCAATTAACACTCTACTTTTGAAAGGTTGGAAGAAAAAAATTTAGCCGTGTTTGAGAATGGTACTTGGTAGTTTCTGAAAATGCAGAATTTTGAGCTAGTTTTCACAGAAAACGGTTAAGTATTCAAGAAACTTTGTATGACATAATATAAAACAAATGTACTCATAAATATAATAATGTAAACAAATTGCTGCTATTGTAAATATTAACAATGTGAGACACAAGTCAAAAAACTACATTTTTGTAATTTCTGAAGAAACAAAATAATAGAGCAACATGGTGTTTGTGCCATCTTATGGAGTACATTTAACACTATTCCTGCTAAAATTTTAAAGCATAAATCTGTTTTTGAAAAAATGTGGTTTTTGTGGTATTTTTAAATTGCACATATTGCACGCAATATTGAACAAAAACTATTAAGTTCTTTAAAGAAATGTACATGACCTTAATGAAGGAACTTCCTATGGAGGACATGGAAAGTTTCATGGATAATTTTTTAAAAGTGACTTCTACCATTTTACCATCTTAGCACAAAATAATTCGTTTATAATTTTGTTTAAGTCATTCATTGATTATATATTTTTGATGTTTGTAATCTGTTATGTACATTTTTTTTCATGTTTCATTGCCTCCTGGAAATACCTTGGCTACATCCGTTTTATTACATTACATAATTAAATGATTGCGATCAGTTCTCCGAGTTCTGATTGGCTGTTGTGGATTTTTAATTGCATGGTGAAGTTTTAATTGCATGCATGCCATAAACATAGGAATAATCAATTATTTTTCATGCCATTAATGAGCATATTTAATTAACTAAACCAAAAAAATATAAATTTATTCACTCACAGTTTATTTTCTTTCACACATTGTTGTGGCAATAAACAATCAATTGTTTTCAAATGTTTTCTACTGACATAGAATTTCTTTTGCCTGTTTGAATGTTTTTGTAACTAGAAAATGGTATGTACCACTTTTCAAAAGTTATGGCGCAGAATTTAAATGAAGCCAGTTCAGTGGGAGAATAACGCTGTATTCCTTGTCAAATATATTAGTTAGAATCTCATTTACATCATGAATAAATTTACTGACCATTACTTATCTGCTGTGAATCTTGTCTTTTCAAACATTTCATATTGTTCATGTACTCCAATTTAAATTATGTTTATATTGAATTGAATTGAATTTTATTTTAAACTACTTGTTCTAATATTTTTTTGTGTGTTCTTAAATCCTGAAGAGGTCAATGCATTTAGGTCGAAATTAATTTGTATTCGATTTGTAAAATAAACTTCATATAAAAACATTTTTACTGAAGTATTGGAATCTAAAAAAAAAAAAAAAAATCGAATATTGTTCTAGAAGACAAGATCAAGAGTAAAAAATGTATAGACTAAAATGGTTTTGATTTCTAGAACTGTCTGAAAGATATGGAATATCTCCCCATCGAAGCTGTCGGTGAAATTTTACTAATATACTTATTTGTTTTTTATATTGATTTGGAATTACAAGGTCATTACCTTTTCAATTCCCAACTCCTGAGATCCGATTCCCCGAAAAATAGCCGAATGACACAAATTACTTTTATACGTTCGGTTCGAGTCGGCCTGGAAGCGCGAGGACCTGTGAACTACGAAGCGCTACCCAAAATTTCCTCGCATTTAATGATAAAAATCAGAAAAGTATTCTTAAGCCCTACTGTCCTCCGTCACCTTCAAAGCAGTCACCTTTGGCATGTACGCAACGATCCCAGCGTTGTTTTCCCTTTTTGGAGGTCCGCAGGTTGAATGGTGTTCAGAACCCGTTGCGATTCCACTTGAGTGTCTTCAATGCAGTCAAACTTCGCCCTTTCAGCGAGATTTTCACCTTCGGGAACAGATAAAAGTCGCCCAGGGATAGATTTGACAAGATGCGGGAACGTTGCCATGTTGTTTTTGGCCAGGAATTTCCTCACAACGATCGAGACGGGTGCGGATACGTTGTCATGCTGCACCAACAAATCGTTCTTTTTCCAACATTCTGGATGTTTGCGCCGAACATTTTCCCTCATTCACCTCAAATCCTCGCAAAACTGCCTACTGAGAGTCTGATCTGGTGGAACAAACTTCTTATGCACAATTCCCCAAATGTCGAAAAAAATTATAAGCATCGACTTGATGTTGCTGCTAACTTGTCGAGCCTTTTTTGACCTTGGAGAAGAGGCATCTTCCATTGTGATGATTACTGCTTGGTTTGAGGATGATAACCGTAAATCCAAGATTAATCACCTGTTGTGACCCTGGATAAGACGTGTGGACACTCTCAAACTGTTTGTTGCTTCTCAGTACACGTCTGAATTCTGAAATCTTGTTGGACGATGCTGAGAAGGCGAGGGACAAACTTCGCTGCAATTTGTCTCATGTTCAGTTGGTCGGCTAGAATTCGTTGACAGTACCGTACAACAGCACCAGTCTGTTAGAAACATGGAGAATTGTCAGTCTTCGTGAATCACATGACGCACTTTCTTGATCATTTCCGATGTTGTGCATGTTGATGGTCGACCTGAATGTTTGTCATCTTCCACAGATTCTCGGCCTTCCTTGAAGCGCTTGAACTACTCAAATATTCTTGCTTGATTCAGTAAGATCTCAACAAATGCTTCTGACAGTATTTGGTGGCTTCTGATACAGTTTTCTTCAATTTCAAACAGAATTTGATGCAAATCCGTTGCTCCTTCACGTTACCACAATTCGCAGAAGCACTGAAACATGTCCTGACTCACACCCCTATAATTCCCAACTGCATGCACAAAAAATGACGCTACTTTGTATCGCAGTAGCTAAGACATGTATCTAGAGACATCGAGCGACGCAATTTCTTACTGCTACTGTTTCGACTGGTACAATGAAATTCTGTGATGTTTTGGGTAGCACATCGTATTTTTTCAAAATGTACAACTGATACTCACATCTAAACAACCGAAAACTATGTTTCAGGACAATACGCAAATGCTTTCATCAACCGTCATTGGCCGGCTATTTACCAGATCTACAAGTACTTGATTACGACGAACGTTGGATACAGGTTCAAGGACATCACAAACGACGTACTTGCCAGAGTGCCACTTGATGAAATGTTCAAGCCTTAACTCACTACCCCAATTTCTTTTAACGACTTCACTTCAAAGCATTATAGGTGTTTAGTGCAATGGGTCATTACATAATAGAATTCGAGATGTGCAAACCAGAAAAAGAGGAGCGCGTTTTCAAAAACAACGAAGAACGTATTCTGAGGTGGGGGAATTGGATGGCAGAACGTGTCATGACTCGGCGATGATCGTTATTGAGGGAGTGTTCTCCGATGTCGTAAACAAATTCACGGTATAAATTGTGAATAGATAAAAATGTTAGAAGTTGAACGGGACATAAAACTGTGTGGCAAGAAGAAGCTGCCACGATTGGAATTGGACTGGATTGAAATGGAAATTTAAATAGACCTCAAGAACTCTGGGGAATGGAATATGTAAGTTCTTTCTAGGGACATAGAAATTTTTAATAATGTATGCAGACCAAGTTTTGGATAAGTTAATAAATTTTAAGTTGAATTGTAAAGGGCCATGCATGCAAGGGGAGGAATAATGAGAAAATATTAAATAACAACATGGTTCTAGTAATTTTTTGGATTGTTATATGAAATGATATGTATGTGTTATTTATTTACGTCATCTGAAGAACAGGAATTACAAGGTTCATTTGATTTTTAAAACAGTTATTGTTATTATTGGTAGCGTAAAGGAAAATCTACAACTCCCGAATATAAAGAAAAGAGTAAATATTATTACGTAAATTATCAGAACCGAGAATCTGTAAAGACGGTCTTGTCTAAATCACACAACATAAAAAAATTACTGATTGGCCTCGGTAGGTAAATAAGGCAAATTGCATAGTAAGTGAATAAATAAAATATCTAAGAAAGTTTGTAAATTTTTTTACTGAATAATTACATGCATTTGGCCAGCTTGGCCCTTGGGAGCAGAAGATGAAGAAATCGAATATGAAATTCAGAAAATGAATAGCCATAAAAATGCAGCTCACGCATCAAGAACAGAACTATTTCATGTGGTTACTTAGATTCGAAAGAAGGTTACAAAGGGTCGAAGAATTTTTTTTGATAATTTGCGTTTTAGTTGGTTACGATGGGAGTTAGTAGATTGATATTGAAGTAATTCCTGGGTACTTCAATTGTAAAAATCTGCCTGATTACAGAAAATCATAAAAATAAATATTAATTACACTTTATATTGTAAATGTTGCCTTTTTGCTTCATAAACGTGCATAAAGCGAATGTTTCGAGTAATTATTATTTACCTTAACCTATTACACAGCTCTGCTAGTCAGATAGCCGAGATCGTTAGAGCAATAGTGCTGTAGCGGTCTCGGACCAGACCGCAGATTCGAGTTCGGCCTCGGGTATGGATGTATTTGTAAATGGCTAAATGTTTGTGCCGTCCTTTCTTCCCTCACTATGATCATCATATCATCACCCATGACCCCAAGGCTAACAACCTTGGGGGATAAAAATCGAGATTCAGCTAAAATGTTGAAACTCCCTTCCCCCCCAGAACGTGTGGTCCGCGTTGGCTTATACGAGAAAAAAATTGCATAGCTCTTCTGATAAAACAAATACTTCAGTACGATTTCATCCACATCTTCGAGGCGGAGATTTTCTCGGTACTTCCAGCACCAATAAAACCCATCCTCCGTCCATCACTTACCTGCCGTGGGTCTTGTCTTTATATATATATATATATATATATATATATATATATATATATATATATATAATGAACTGAATATTATTTCAAACTGTGTCACTAACAAATCTGTTTTCTATTCGTATCCCAGAAGCGGTAAATAAATTTATAAGTGGAAATTAATTTGTATGGAGATTTAATAATATATGATATGAAGATATAACTGAATAATTTTTTTGTGAATCACAATAATTTACCAAACTATTGCGAACTACAAAGAATGCAAAATGTTGTCGGGTATTGTACTAAAAGATAAGATGAAGTGCTGGAAAGTTACAGACAGGATGGGGTGGTTTTGATTCCAAGAACAGTCAGAAAGATCAAAAATACATATCCGAGAATACACATACATAATGTATCTCCTCATCGAAATTGTCGAAGTCTTACTAATATATTTGTTTCTGTTTTACTGAGTGATTTGGATTCACTAGGTTATTATTGCTGGCGCAACTTTCCTTGAACGATGGATTGAAGAAATGCGGGTACAGTGGGGGTATTAGTTACGAAATCGGCCACTAGATGTTATGAAGCAATGCCAATCTTTGGAGAAAAAGTCATGCCTTCGCAACGTTCTCAATAATTTGCGTTCTAACTTTCTCAGGTGTTCGATGTATCTCCTGTAATAGATCTTTACCTGCTTTGATTATTTCTTTACATTTTTGGAGAAAATGACGGATAGAAGTTCTCGTCTTCAAAAGAAAATTGTTTCTATTCCGTGCCAGCGAAGATGTGTTTGGAATGTTGTCATTAGTGCTCGCTGCGAGCTTTTGCCTTCATCTGTGCCAAAGAGGGGGGAAGCAAGGTCACCGTTCAAGAAAAGTTGCGTGAGTAATACCCTTCAATCTCCAACTACTGGGATCTGGGGCCTCGAAAAGCAGCTGAATGAAGGAACTGACTCACACGCCCGGTTCGAGGCGACCTGGTCATCCAGGGAAACTAAGGGGGTGTTTCAGGTAAACCAAGTCTGTGGGTTCAAATTCCGAGTAAGATATGGAATTTATCGGGTGTTTCGGGCTAGGGGTACATTCCCAGTACCTCGTATATCATCTCTATACGCCTTCGTTATACCCCTTCTCCTTATCCAGTCACGCATCACCACCAATCGCCAGCGTTTCTTTGTCTTCTCACATTCGTATTACAATAAATGCTGCCGACCGGGAGGTGGCTCAGTGCATCAACTGATGTCATCAATTTATAGAATAAAAACTATTTGTGAAAAATCGAAATCTGTAAAACATAGTACTAAATAGGAAAAAAATATGTAACGAAAAAATTGGGTATTGTGTTAGAATGGCGACGATTTTCGAAGTTCACAATTTTGAGAACGGTAAGTAGAAAGGCAAAAAAATATATAATTACATAAAAACCCGGTCTCTCAGCCATGGACCACAATGATTTTAGCAATTTAAGGACCTCCAAAACTAAGAAAGTAAAATAAAAATAAACAAGTAAGTAAATAAATAAATAAAATGGCAAATAAATAAATTGGTAAATAAATAAGTAAATATAGGTATGAGTAAATAAAGCTCAAGTAATATATTTTTTGTTGCTGTCAGTTTTTCTTCCAAATGTACAACTGAACATTCGAAAACTGTGTTTCAGGACATTACGCAAACGCTTTTATCAATCGTCATTGGCGGGCTATGTACCAGATCTACAAGTACTTGGTAACAGCGAACTTTGGTAAAACGTTCCTGGACGTCGTAAACAACATGCTTGTCAATGTGCCATTGGACGAAATGTTCAAACCCTAACGCCATTACACTCAATATTTTAACAAATTACGAAGAAAGTGTCTTAAAATATTAACCCACTAACAAAATAAAAAATTAAAAAAATCATTAACAGTCGTGTGCTAATACCATTACGGTATCTGGAAAGCAGCAATAAGAAGAGGGGGAAACTGACCACAGAAAAAGTGCCATAAAATGATGGAACATTTTAAATATTTTAGAATTAATGATACCTGTATTTGACTATATATTATCAGCTTGTTCTGCATGTTTATGTTAAAATATTTTCATTTATGGGGTGTGGCAAAGACATATGTACAAAGTGTGTTCAAAAAAGGCTGGACTGCTCAAGTAAGTTTATTTCGAATTATACATCTCAATCGTTTTGTGGCCTTCCAAGTACATCCTTTGGCTGGCCACACACCTCTTTCAGCTTTCCTTCTAGCACTCAATTGCCTTCCGAAAGCGCTGCTTTCGGAATCGCCTTATAGTCCGCTGTACAATTTCTCTCGATGTTCTCAAATGTGTCAAATCGGTGGCTTTCAAGGTGAATTTCAATCTCGCAAACAAGAAAAAGGCGGCTGGAGCAACATCTGAAAAACAGGGAGGCTGCACATTTACCGTTGTGCCGTTTTTAGCCCCATGCTCGGTCACAAGAAACGAGGCATGTGCCGGGGCGTTGTCATGGCGTAACTTGAATTTTCGATCATTTCAAAATTCAGGTTTTCTTCTCATCAAAGCTTGCCTTAGCCTCTTCAAAATTTTGAGATAGTATTCTTTGTTAGCTGTTTGTCCTTTACGGACGTATGAATCAGCCCTTGCCAGGCGAAAAAAGCAATGAGCACGATTCATGTTAGACCTCCGAGCTTTTTTTTTGGTCGAGAGAGAATCTTCCCGATTTAAATCGGTAATACCACTCAAAATCACTAGGGCCGCCTGATATATTCGTCTCCAAAGGCTTGATTTGATCTGAGGGTCTCTGTCAAATCGGCACCACGTACCTAGGGTTTGGTTTTGGAAGGTTTGAATTTTCTATATATTTGTATCAGAAGTGTTGTATCATATTATGGCACTTTGTGACTCGTTACGGTCTGTCAAGCGGTTTAGAATTATATTTAGATTTATTTAGTCAAAAAATAGTAAAAACTGTACATGACGTAGGGGGGAGAAGATTACCTGCGCACGCTTTCTTGAGTTCCAGAATACCTTCCAGTCGTTTTAATTATAAATAGTTGCAAGATGAGTAAAAGTTTAACATAAATAAATACAAATTACTTACTAAAAATAAATTTTTAAAAGTCGCAAGATTAGCAATGTTTGAAAAATAGTAATTTTCATTTCCGATTTATATAATTATTTTTGCCATTGGTTCACGAGTATGATTTTTTTGCATTGCTAACAAAATAGCAACTCCCCCTTACCTCTACTTTTACCACTACAAACAAAAGAAGAGTTCAACAAAACGTGCGCATAGTGAAGCTACATTTACGAGCAAGGAGCAAGGTTTGCGAGCAAGGAGCTCAGTCTGGTCTTTTTTTCAACACATCTTGTATCTTGAACATTTTCTGTCCATTCAGTTCTTATCTCAAAAACATAAATGGCCCCGTCGAGAGTTTAAATTGAACATGACTTAAGTTACAAATGTAGTTTTTAGAACTTCTAAAAAAATTATACTATCATTATACTTTTGCAATGTTAATTTTTTGCTATTTCCGGAAATGTAGAGTTCTCCGATAGCTTGACATGCACCATATTTGTAGCTGCATCTAGTCCTTATCTGAAGAAAACATTGATGAAAACATTAGAAGCCATTTTTGAGAAAATAATTATTTAAAAATTGCATAAGTGGTCTCAAAAACTACTCTTATTTTCGACAAATTGAACGTGAACATATTTCAATATTTGTCGTTAATGATCAGATTTCATTAAGGAAAAAATCCTATCTTCATTATTTTAGATGTAGGATGACGCCGAAAAATTTGTAAACTCACAAAAATGTAGATCCATTTTTGGGAAACTTTTGAAAATATTGTTGATGCTTCATGTTAAGTACCTCCCAAAACATAAAATATTTTTTTCAAACATGCAGGGCCTTGAGTTTGCCCTGATAGTTTGGAGAACATCAAATTTAAAGTAATTCTTTCAACGATTTATGCGCTAGTGTTGACTACAGCCAGACAAACGGACGGGGAGACAGACGGAGCGACGGGCGAACAACCGCACATACATTTTGCCATCAACAAATTTTTGGGTATCAAGGACCCACAAAACATGAACTATGTCAACGTAGCGAGTTAGAGAAAGTAATTTAGTACATAGAGTCAAGACTTATCCAGGCTTTCGGTACCAGAGCCCCACAATGTGAGCTTCTTTTTCGAAAAATCGACGATTTTCTGCCGCAGCATTAAAATACTTTCTGTTTACTGCATACTGATGTAGTAAAGTGAGAAAGCAAACACGAATTTGGGTTCGTCGTTGAGAACCCATCCTCACCCCCCCGGTATACGACTGTTAATGATACTTTATGGAGAACATTGCATTTCTGTATCACCAACATGAATAAAACAAATATTTCGAACTATATAAGGTTATTCGAGATAGTCTTATTTTTATTTACGATAGTCCACTTTTATTTACGTGCCTAACTTATCGCACCACAGAAAAACTCGGTTAGATAATATTTGAAACAGTTTATGCAGGAGGCACTCGTGTTTGCCTATCATGTGCATGTAATGGCTACCTGCAACCAGTACAATCTTCGCTCCTCTTTGCCGGTAAACACTACCAGCCAGTCTACGGGTACCAACTCAGGTCTCAATATTTGTGTAAAATGTATGTGTTTCTCATTTGCAGAATATGGTGGATTTGATGTGAATAAATATAATGTTCTAATCATATTTGGGCTAGTGAATATTGTACGAAAGATTCCGAAACCCACATCCCTTTCAAATAACCCTAATGAGCTGCCTTAGTTTTCCGCTAGTTACGTATTCTGGACGTCTGGCCTGGCTTTTCAAACAAAGTGCCAGTGGTGTGGTGACGTGGTTTGTGACGTACCTGCTGATGCAAAGAACGAATAAAAATCTGTCCAGCTGAACAGCATATCCTTGTTCTTGCATTTTGGGAGAGATCAATTATTGCAATGACTTACATCGAGCGAGGGACAATAGTTCTGATGATAAGGGCAGTGATAGAAATTCATATTGTTTCCCTATCATGTCAAAACCTCGTTAATGTTTGTATC